AAATAATAAAGCTATTACTGTTACTAGTCTGTACTAGTTAATAGTTGCATAGTCTTATACGTCATACTTTAAGTACCGAGTATGAATATTCAATAAATTATTTCAAATATTGATAAATACATATTTTAAAACCTAAAAAAAAAATTATTTAAAGCAAAGTAAACTTAAAATAGGGAAAATAATTTAAGTTATTATTACTATACTAATTATAACAACATCTGCTACACTTTAAAATATTTTTTTCGATTTTCCATCTAAGAAAAGAAAGAAATTAGTTAGTCGCCCCAAAAGCAATATCCTATATCAGGTGATCACTGTATGTTGTAAGCAATAAATAGATAACTACAAAAAAAATAAAAGTGGGCGATGGGCAATGGACAATGGGCGAAGGACGGAAGGGCGGCAAACAGCCCACAGTGGGTTTGCAAAGGATGGCTGACAAAAATAAAAGAGAGATAGGCGAAAAGCGAAAACTGGGGACAGGGAAAGAGATGGGGACAGCGAGCAAGAGAGAGGGACAGTCACTATATCACTATCAGTCACCGACTGACCAAATATGCGCCCCTCCCCATTCTTGCCTGCCCTCCCCCCTCCTTGGGACTAACCTTGCCTTGTTTACTTATTTGCCGAGTGGATGACTTAGGGGGTTAGGGGCGGAGGGGCCAAAAAGGGGCAGAGAGGGCCCGAGGGGGCGACCAGTCCAGCGGTGGACCCACCCAACCCAAAACCACAGGGCGGATACGTAATTGTCAAAGCAGCGTCGAGTAGTTAAGTTTGTACAACGTGGTACAGTGGACTGGGAAGCCAAAAATTGTTCTCAAAAATAATTTATAGATCTTTTATATAATAATATAGTATTTAATAGTGTTGGTAGTTTTATAAGAAAGTGAAAAAAAAAATAAAGTAAAGCTCTGAAGTTGATGCAACCATTTTTCATTAAAAAAAGATTTCTTTTTAGAGTATGATCAGTATTATATAAAAAATCTATAGAATATAGTCACTAGATTCTATTAAATCCTTTAAATTATAGTATAGTAGCTCTAAAGTAGGTTCTTTGTGAAAATAGAGATAAATAGCTTCATAAATAAGGTACTTATGAGATCTTGAAACAATTTAGCGGACAAACGGACACACGGACAAGCTTTTGTATATCTATATCTATAAGTTATCTTTATAGAAGTTTTCAATTAACTATTGGATAAAATAATACTACTCTCACTAAAATAATAATTTATTTTTTTTTAATATTATTATTATTTCAAAAATTTGAACCACCGTGCTCTCATTGCCACGCACCAAAAATTGAGTTTTGCATTTCCGATGACATATTTCGCCACACTCATCAATCAATCAATCAATGAGTCAATCAATCAATCAAGTGACTGACTGAAATGTGCATGCAAACAAAATGGCCAAAGGATATGACTAGAAAAGGTTATAGGTCAATAGATGAACCTCTTTACCTGTTCAAGATTCTATAATTTTCTAAAAGAAATTTAATATTTTTTTTTATTATTAAAATACTATAAGTATAATATATTATATAGATTTTTCGTAAAGTGTATTGAAGGCTTGGGAATGCCTCAGAGTTGAGGGATCATCTCAATCTCAAGTTGTCTCAATTTCAATCTGAATCTGTGTATCTCTCATGGGGGAAAGACGACTCGCTGTCTGCCAGAATTGCCCCATTCTTTGTCATATAAATGCGAGAGAAAAATTCAATTAAATTTATTGTAATCATTTAACAATGGAACCAATCTTCTCTTCTCTTTTTTTATTTTATTTTTAAATTTTTATTGCAACGAGGTGTCCATTTACACACTCTGTCTGTCAATAAGGTTATGCGGTTATACATATTTTTTTTCTCTTTTCGTTTAGTGTCATTTTTCAATTCGATTAGTCAATGGAAATTGTACAAAAAAAAAAATGATTTATTTCTTCATAAATGTATACATATGTATATATGTATATATATTCATATGCAACCACACTGCGTATACGCAATGCCACAAAGTGGGTGGCTAGGTGGCTGGGTTGACTGGTTAGTGCTTTGCATATTAAAACCATATTCTCAATAATTCAATAGCCAAAGGTTTTAATTACATTTCGCAACATCTGGTGCTGGCAAGCCCAGTGCCCCAATTATGAAATAACTGACAAATGAAGTTTTTCGTTCAATTAGATGGCTTTTAACAAGCTCTTAAGACCTCTATAGTTTGGTAATGGATCCAACAAGTCTCACGTAATTTGAAAATTGCACATGCAAACCGACAAATGGAAACGTGACCAACTTTCCAACAAAAGAAAAGAAAGTTCAAACAAAGAAATTTGATAGAATTCGAGTCGAAAAGTGAAATTCGTAATAAAAAAATTATTATCATTTTCACAAGGTTGACCTTTCATAGATTAATGCAAAATATTAACCTATATATTACTTTTTAAGAATACCTCTTGATATCACACTTTTGCTGACGTCACTCTGAACTTTTTATAGAATCGTACGAAATAATAAATAATTTTTTTGCATCCCATTCAGAGAGCGCAGGGAGGTATCATTATATGTGTCTGTTGGATGGTGTATGGAAAATAATTTTCATTCAGAACAGACAGACACGAAACAATGACAAATATGCATGGAAATATATATAATAATAAAATATATATATATATACATATAGAGATATATAAGAAATATATATTCAAGAGACGAGAGATGAATGAAATGAGGAACTGGTGGCAGGGGAGGGGGGCACTCTGCAACAACAAAAAATAAGAACAAACAAGATGAAGGAGAAACTGGGGGGGTTGGATGGTGGAACAAAAAATAAGGAATGAAATCACCAAAAATCACCCAAAAAGGCCGATGAAACGGCGGACACGCAGCCACAATGGCGACCAATATTTTCTCGGTGTCTGCTGATTCTGTTCTATATTTTATAGAGCAGTCCCCCCCTTGAAGAGCAGGAGGGGGGATATGCGGGTGGGGGCTTTTTGGATGGGACTGGGCATGGGCATGGACTGGGTGGTGATGGCATTCACTCATCATCATCATCATCGCCGTCATCATCATCAGTCTCATGTGAATTAATGTCAATGACAAAAACAACTAACAGACATTAAACAAGAGTCAAGGCGCTAGAATTCTTCAAAGTTTTTGAATAGTACCGGGTATCTATATAGTATTTCTAGTACTAAGTAGTATAAGGAGTTTTAAAAGTGCTAGTATTTGGTATTCTTTTGAGTAAAAATGTTACATTTAAATAGTTTAGGGCTGTACCAAAAATGAAACACTTAACAAAAATTACCAAAAAAATAACTACTTGGTAAGATTGTATTCTATAAGTTCTACAAGATGAATACTAGATTGTGACGATACCCCAATATATTTAAAATCTAGTATTTAAAAAGTACCTAGTATCTATTATTCCCTTCAATAAATTACTATAGCAGGCACCAAAATGTTGCATTTAAAGCTTTAGCATTTATATTAATTATATAAGTACCGGTCCAGTTTTATACAAGATTTAAAAATCGTAAAACTATACAAAAAACTATACTTTTTAAATACCAAACAAGGACTAAAAGTACTGGGAATCAGAACAATAATTGGTATTAAAAGTGTCTCTTGATGATTTCTTCTGTTAATTACATATTTTCATGCTTTGGAAAGAATATTAAAATAAAACAGAAAGCTCAAGTTATCATTTTTTTTGTAAGTAACGGATATTATTACCATATTTATTGTACTATTCAGTAAAATATCTTCCAAGTACCGGGTATAACCAAGTCATATCCAAATACCGGATATGACTGTCATTTCTAGTATTTCCCTATATTTATTCACAAAATTGTATTCCTCAAATGAAATTTAAGATCAACTTAAAATGCTAAAACCATCCGCATATTTTGCAGTTAAAATCGAAACTAATCACTACCCAAATAACTCTAGGTCATTAAATGGAAAAATTCTTCATCATTTCCATATTAATCCGATGAAAAATGACAAAATCCAGAATAGAGCAGGCCCCGGGGACTGGAAAACCTTTCGCACAAAGTTCGTTTACAATTGTTTTTAATTATGCGCATTGTTTGCCGTTCGTTGTTGTTCATTATGCGGTTGGTTAATGTCATTTAGTTCATCAGCTTAATTTTCCATCTCTCTCTATATTTTTTTTTATTGGGCTGCTTGCTTGCTTGTCTACTTTATTTGCAATTTTCCCCCTCTTTTTTTTACAAAAAATAAAATACCTCCTTCATCTCATCACAAAGCATTTCTCGTTTTCAATTTCGAATATTGAGTTTTCACTTATTTATTTTTGCTGCTGTTGTTGTTGTTTTATACGATTTGATTTGTTGTTGTTGTCTTGTGGCAATGAAAGTGCAATAATGTGCAATATTCATACACACACACATGCATATACGTTATTAAATTTAGTGGGGAAACTGGTCGTCTCTCTGCTTTTCAGCCATCATAAATCACAAAAGACCTTACAGTGTGACCAGGTTAATTAGGAAATACTTAAATTTGTCCAGGGTGATTAACCGACACTTAAATGTTACCAGTTTGTTTTAATATTGTGTAAATATTTAAATAAAAGTAACCAAAGAACCTCTGTATACTGGTAGAAGCATAAATATTTTAGTGTTACCTCTTAAATAAGTCCTTATAGTATGACCAGACTTATTAATAAATGCATAAATGTGATCAGTTTTTTCTATTTTTGGTGTTAATATTAACCAACACTAAAAAAAGAAGCCCCAGAAAAGCCATACAACGTCCCATTACAAGTACAGCCATTATAATATTAAAGAATTCCTTACAGCGTGACCAGGCTTATAAATACCAGTTTAAAGGTGACCTTAGGACCCTAATTCCATTTAAATAATTCACAAAGAAGCTCTGAACTAAAAAAAAGTCATCAAGTAGGCCTAGAATAAAACAAGATAGCCAAAAAATAAAAACTAGAAAAATTTTAAAAACCTAGTAGGCCTTGAAACATCTGGCATTTAGTAGAGCCATCAAAACCTTATTGTTTAGTAACAAACTTCGACGAGAGCACACAAAAATTCGAAACGGAAAAAGAAATCAAATTTGTTCTCCACAATTTATTTAAGTTTTCCTTTTTTCGGGTTATTACCAAAAGTTGGATCGTGCTTCCCAGCAATCAGGTGAGTTTATTTTGTATCCAAAATATTTTCAAACATAATACCAATTGGTAATATTTGGTAATAGAATGGTTGAACTAAGGAAAACCGTACGTATGTTCAGGATCGCCAAGGCCTTTTGCTCCGCTCTCTACAACGATCGGTTCTTGTGGACCTTCGTCAAAAGCTATGGACTCTTCGCCTTGGCCATTCCCATTGCCAAGTCTTTCGACGGCTACGAGGTCCTGCCCCGTGCTCTACCAAGTTTCTAATTCAAGTATCATATATCAGCAAGGATGATCAAGTTTGTGGATCACTCTTGCTATGATCTATTCAAGTTCTATTCAACAAAAATTCTACCAATAATTTTTGGCGAAAATAATGGGGAAAATGTCTCTTGGAGAATTGGTGCGTAAATTGGATGTGCGTTCTCATCTCGGAAAATTGCTGAAATTGTATGAAATATTTGCGGCATTGGTGCTGTGATAAGATTAAACAACGGACTTCCCCTGCCAGTTATAATTTGAATTATTATTCCTATAAGTTGGATGGTAAAAGTTGGAGTTATTTTGGGGCAGGCGGATGAGATTTCTATATGGGTTTTTGAGATCTATTATTATTACTATGGATGGTATTAATATTGTTATGGTATTAGACGGTAATATGTGAAATGACGGTGATGTCTGTAGGGGTTTTAAGATCTATTATTATTATTCTTATGGTAGCATTAAAAGTCGAAGTTATTAAAAGTTATTGTTTTGGTACTAATATTATTATGGTATTAGACGGTAAAAGTTTCACGTTATTAGGGCAGGAAGGTATGAATGTCTATAAGGATTAGGGATCTATTATATTTCCTATAGAATTAGACTATAGAATTTGCACGTTTTAAAGGCAGGAAGATGTGATTTCTATAAGGCTTATGGATCTATTATTATTATTATAGTATATGACTATGCAATTTTGATTTCTTAATACCAGAAAGGTGTAGTTTCTTTAATGTATTTGAGAAGAACCATTATTATTACTTTATTTAGTCCAGAAAAGTCGAATATCTATAACATTTTCTAATCTATTATCCACTATATGACCACTATATCCATCTCTATAGATCTACTATCACTTTTTTTTCCATAAAAACGCGTTAATTTCTTTGTTAAACATAACAATTAACAAAACAAAAATATCTTTCAAATCAATTAAAATTTTTTACAAGATTTATTTGTCACTTTTTGGTGTTTCTCTTTCGATTTATCAGCTATTTCCAGCTTTTCTTTTCAGACCACCCTCCCTCCCCTCCCCTGGTTTTCCTCACTCCTCTCTCTGTTTATATCTTTTTTTTACCATTTTTTTTATTGGCCAAAAACCTGTTGTAATCTGGCATCGTGTGACGTCAATTGCCTTTTCAGACCAGGTGAGCAAATTTAGTTTGTGGACTTACCGCATAAAGCTGCCGCCGCCGGTGGCTAGCAGCTGATGATGTTGTTGTTGTTGTTGCTGTTGTTGTATCTGTTGTGGGTAGAAATGTTGCTGTTGCTGTTGTTGTTGCTGTTGCTGCTGCTGCTGTCGCAAACCATGAGCCATGTCTCCAAAATCTATGCTGCTACTGCCGCCGCTTAGCGCCGGATGACGATGTTGCTGCTGCTGGTGCTGCTGGTGATGTTGCTGCTGTTGGAGCTGCAATTGCTGTTGGTATTGATGACTCAGGCTGGCCACACCACCACCCCCTACACTGGCCGTGCTTGTAATACTCCCGGAGCGACTACCTCCGTACAGGGATGTGGCATAGTGCGAGGAATTGGGATGATTCGGATTGGAGGAGTGCGGTGATCCAGCCGGCGATGTTGTTGCTACTGCCTTGACAGCGGGATATGAGATCAACTGTTGTTGCTGTTGCTGCTGCTGATGCAGATGTTGTTGTTGTTGTTGCTGCTGCAAATGATGATGCGATGCTGCAACTGGTAGTGCACTTTTGTGGGAGCCGTTGGCCATCAGGGAGGGCGAGTGCGTCGACATGGTCAGACGGTTCGACTCCGGTGTGTGGGCAATGCTCGTATAGTGCTGAAAAACGAAAATAATAATTTAAAAAAATATATATTAATTTATTTTTTTAAATACATTTTTTTCTTTATTTATTAACCTACCATCTGAAGGACATCGCACTCCTTTGGCACCACGTGCAGCGTAAGGACCGCCGGCGTCTGCTTGATCATCGATACGATGGTGCTGTAGGCGATGCCAGCGATCGGCTGGTTGTTGACCATCAGCACGCGGTCACCCGTCTGCAGGTTGGCGAAGTGGGCCGGTCCGTTCGCCTGCACCTCTTTGATGAAAATGGTCTCCATCGCTTTCACTTGGTATGGCAACAGCGCAGTCGGCGATGTTGGCTCCAAACCGGTGACGCCGACGCTGCTGCTGCCGACGCTGCCACCGCTGCCGGCCAAACTGGAGGCGTCCTACACACCAACATGAAAAAAAAAACAAAACAAATCCAAATTGGAAACAAAATAAAAATTATATTAGTTTTGAGTCAGTTTAAACAATAGAAGAGAGATTTTTAGGAAATAAAAAAAAAGATTATAATTAATAATCCCCCAAAAAGATAATTTTTAATCCCTTTTGATAAAAAATTACATTTTTATTTTAACTATTTTTAATATTTTTAAATTTTTAAAGCTCCTATCAACTCAACCTCCGCTGTAGATCGTGAAATAACAACATTTCCAAAAGAGAGTGGATCCCGGCCCCAAAAGAGAGTGAGTGAGAGTAAGAGCAGGAGGAGAGTAAGAGTGGGAGACAGTCAAGACAGTCTGCAAGTCAAGCGGAGGTTGTAATATCAACGGGGACAACAACAACAACAAAGAAAAAAGAAGGAAAATTGGGAAGTGAGCAAAACGCAAATTAGTGCAAAAATAAATAAAAAAACAAAACAACAAAAAAATAAAAGAGAAAGGAAGGCTAAAGACAACAAAAATACCCTTAAAACAACAACAAACCATAACACGCATACGCAGTGTGTTCTTTCAAACAAATATTACTCATACGACGTGTGAACTTGGAAAGTTGAGGGTTCTCATTTTTTTTTTTAATTCTTGCAAAAATAAATCAAATTAAAATAAAGAGGAAAACATTTTTTGTTAAATTTAATTTCAAAACTAGGGCATATTCAAAAATCTCCAATAAACAGCCAAAGGAAAGCATTAAAGGTCGAAAGAAAGAAAACAAAAAAAAAAGCAAAAGCGGCATTTTGAATAAGCCGCGCGTGCGCTGCTTCTTTGCGGCGCTCACGTAACTAGCTTCGCTGCAGCAGCGGATCCAGCCGACCGCGTCGCCTGACACACTGGAGAAAGAGGAAAGGAGAAAGACTGACGGCCAGGTCAGAGAGTGGGAGAGAGTGTCGGATGACTAATTGCACGCCGCTTGACCGACCGGCGCGCATGCCCAGCTCTCTCTTTTTTTCCCCCCCTCCCTCTTTCCCTCAAAAACTCACTTAGTCACTCACGTACTCTCATTCTCTCACTTCCTCTGCCCGTAAATTAGTTTAACATTTCCACTGCAAACAATAGGTGTTAAATAACAATAAAAAAAAAATATAATAATCATGAATAGTTTTTTTTTATACCGAGAAAAAAAATAAAGGATGTGAATTATTAAAATCAGTAAGAGAAAGTTAAGAGAAGTTTCAAAAATTATAGCCTACTTAAGGGAGTACTTGGTGTTTAGTAAAGAGTTTCTAGAAATTTCCTGTTATTTCTTTCAGTGCCCAACAGTTCCCCCTCAGCTTGGGAGCATAAGCACCCTAGGCCCCCCCGCGCCCCCTTCTCAGCTCACCTGTCCCCAGTTGCCCGACGTCGCTGTCGCCGTTGCGCCGCTGGCGTCATCTTCCGGCGGATAGGCGATGAAGTGGCGCAGCGTGAAGCCGAATCCCTGGTTGGGCCGCCGCCGGATGACGATCAACTTTGGCTGGACGGTGGACGCCGCCACGGCTGCTGCCGCTGAGGCGGCTGATGCCGCGGATGCTGCTGCCGCTGCTGCTGCGGCTGCTGCTGCTGCTGCCGGTGTTGCCACCGCTGTGGCTGCCTGTGCTGCTGCCTGCGCTGCGGCAGCGGCGTTCGAGTTTTGTAACATTTTGTTTAAGTTTAAGTTTTTGTTTTTTTAATTTTTATTTTTATTTTATACTGATGCCCTCTCGCTCTCTCTCTCTCTCTAGCTGTCTCTTTCGGTGGCTGTGTGTGTTGTTGTTGTTGCTCTTGTGGTTTGGTGGTTTCTGTTTGTTGTTTTTTCTTCTATTTGTCGTGCGGTTAGTTTGTAGCTTTATTTATTTATTTTTTTTTTTATTATTTTTTCATTTACTCTTTGTTGTTTTTGTTGTTGTTGTTAGGTGGTCAACCTGTTGGTGGCTGTTGCACCCTCATTTGTATGGCGGTGGGTGGGGATGGGGTGCTCCTCCTCCTCCTTCTATCCTTCCCCCTCTCTATTATTTCCTCTATCTCTTTATTTTGTTATCTTGGAGTTTATTAACTTTCTTGGGTATTTTTTTTTCTTGCGAGGGGGAATTTAATAAATATTTTATTTACAATCTTGGATGCATTGCGATTTTTCGATGTGGCAGGGGCACGAGGCCCATCGTACCGAATGATATTACCATAGTACTGGCTTGGAGGTAAAGTGCTGCTTTCTGCTGATCATGGATTTTTAGTTATTTTTTAAGGGATTAATCTAAAATAAAAAAGTGAGAATATTTTATTAGTTAAGGTATTATTTTTAATGATTTTTTAAATTTAAAATTATTTAATAAATCTTAAGAAAATATGTGAAATGGCTTTTTTTTTAATATTTTAAAATTTATAATTTTTTTGAAAATAAAGACACAATTTAGGGGTCAAATATATACATATGTACCATAGTATTATATATATAAGATACTAGATAGGCGGACACTATAACCCTTACTAGCCTTAAATCCTAAGATTTATGAACTCACTTTAAGTCCCTTTTTTTTTTATTTTAATTTTAAATACACAACTCACCTTTCGGCAATAACTCATTTCACCAGAAATCCCCTCAAAAATAGCAACTCCACTTAAACGGAGAAAAGTGTAGAGTGAAAAAAAAAAGAAAAAAACACAAACCGAACCAAACCAAAAAATGTGACCTAATAAATTAAGTTTGCCCAAAAATGCTCTTGGCATTAGCCCACTCTTAACCCCATAAAAACTCGAAAATAAATAGTGGAGAGTCTGATGGCGGCCTGTGGCGGTCAACCAAAGAGAAAAACAAAAAAAAAAAAAAATGCGACGAGACGTGTTACACTTTTTAGACTTCCCTCCTCCGTGGCTGCCAGGCAATTTGACGGTCAATGTCCAAAATGTCTGTTTTCGGGGTTTTTACTGTATTACCTTTGTTTTTTTTTTATTATTTTTATTATTATGCCTTGTAATTAAAACCGAAAAAGGTTTTTTTTTCGTTCAGGCTGTGGCTGTAAAAAGCACTTAACTAACTGTACATGGACATATATGCCATGAGTCTCTGGGCCCGATCATAATAATGCACAAGCCACAATGATGATATAATGCCGTTTATTACCTCAAGAGTAAAAATATAAAACTAGCAGACAATATTTTTTTTAAACATCAGAGGGTTAATGGCCACCTTTGTCCTCTTTTAAATTTTTTTTATTATTATTTTTATTATTTCTTTAGCCAATGTCAATGGCAGAAAATGTTACCAACACCGAGTCTGACATTTTCAAAAAAATAGTTACGAGTTCGAGTAAGAAAATCAATAAAAAGTAAAGTCTTAAAAATAAATAAATATTTTAGAGCTTAGAGGGGGCTTTTTTTGACATTTTAAAATGTCAGACAACAAAGCACTCTCTCAGAATTATGAAAAACTAATGGAAAATGGAAACTAATTAATTCCCCAAACTCTGGTAATTAGTTCAGAATTTTTTGTTCGCCCGCCGAAGTTAAAAAAAAAAATAAATAAAGAGCCACCCCCAACTGCGTGTTTTATAGATAATTTTTTTTTTTTTTTTTAATACATTTTTGGAACCCGTGGAGTTCCATTTAATTAGCCAAGCGATAAGGTCAAAGATCGAAGACCTGGCCTACAAGGTCTCACAGGATCTCTATATTGAAATATTTATTTAAATATTATGGCTTTATTTTTTTTTTATTTTTCAGCTAAAAACACATGTAATTACCCTCCAAAAAGATAGAGATACAAAAAAAAAAAACAAGACGGATTTCGTTCAGATACCAGTCTCTATAATTGCCCCATTGTAATTGCATTGTCAAAGTTGTTTTTTTTTTTTTTTTTTTGCAAGTAGAGTAAGGGAAGGGTATCAACTCAAGGCGATATATATATATAGAGAGAGAATATATATACATACAGAGATAAACAGATTCGGCTGCAGATTAAGTTGAATGGCTGGAAATGTGTTAAATTTTGATGGGAAATCGTAAAAAATAACAAACTGATTATAAAACCTGAGAGAGGTTTCTCTGTTTAGCTACTGATTTTTTTTTTTGTATTTTTTGTGGAGGCGAGGGCCTTGGCCAGTCCCTCAATTTTATTTTTTTTTTTATATATATACACAAAATAAAACATCATATAACGACCTATATCAACTTATCAGCAGTTGAACCGATAGCCAGGCGACTAATTGAAGGTTACAACAATAGAGGTGTATGATTATAAGTATATTTATACAACAAGGTACAAAAATTAAGGCTTTTTAAAAAAAAATAATATTTTATTAAAATTTATTAAACTATAAAAAAATAAATGAGGGTTTGGTGAATATAAATATAATTATTTGAGGCTTTTTTTAAGGCTTTCTAGAGTTTAAGACTTTTTAGAGTTTAAGGCTTTCTAGAGTTTAAGGCTTTAAGTTACTATAAAATCACAATAAATAATAAGTATGTATATGTATCCATATTTTTAGATATTTAATATATTTGGAATAAAAAACAAGAGCAAGTTAAGAATTTTCTAAACTTAAACAAGTCCATTAACCACCAATCAGTTAAAGAATTGCCTAATGTTTTAATTACACTAATTAATAATTAAAAGCCAACAGCCATCAAATACCAGTCATTAAAAGCTACATTATTTAATTGAAATTCTGTCTGTAGATTTTCTATAGAATTTATTACAAATACATTTTTTTTGTTTCTTAATTTCCCATCATCTTGTTATTGTTTTTGTGTATATTTTTTTTTTATGATGGGTAACCGCCCCCCTAAAAAACAGAAAACAGAAAATCAACTTTGATTGATTGTGGCTGTGCTTCTTCTTGACGCTGTGTTAAACAGCGTTTTAATACTTTTACCGTTTCTTTGCTCATTACACGCATGTTCATGTTCTGGCTTTAATTTTTATTCCTCTTCTTGGCTTTTAAATCTTGATTATTAAGTTTTTTTTTTTTTTTATTAACTGACCATGATATAATTGTGGGAAGGGGGTGAGAGAGCTCTTCAGCTTTAAGGTTTCTTTGTTTCAGAGCTTTTTTGTGGCATTTTTCGATTTTAATTCTACAAAGATTCTACAAAGAAGCTCTACTACACACATACATACCTACATAGGTGGTTGAGAACAATCAATTTAATTGTTATCACAAAAAAATGTAAGAAACGAAAAAAAAAAAAAAAACAAAAGGAAACGCAGCCAAAAAAGCTTTGTTTGTCGTGATATCACTAAATTTTACCTTTATTTTTTTTTCCATAGTTCTTATCGATAAGAAGCGGAAAAGAAACAATCGATACGAGACTGGCTGATAAAGGTTTCTTTTTTTGTTTTTGTTTTTTTTTTTTTTAATTCAATAAATAGTTGATTCTTGGAACAATAAAGGTGTTTTCATAGAAACATGAATGATTTTCAATTCTTTTTTATTAAAAATTCCACGAATTTCAAGAGAAACTACTATTTATTTGTATAATTAGATTAGAGCTACATAGAACCAACTCTGATAAGCAAAACACATTCCAGGCCATCATCACAGCCTTCAGGGGCTAGAATTTCAAACAAAACTCAATTATATATCAGCCAGAGTTCAAGTTCAACACCAGCCTTTGGGGAATCCGAGAATATAATTCCTTTTTTCCACCCAAAAACTGACTGAATGTCAAATGCAATTACAAAACTCAAATTAGAGTTAATGACATTTTGTTGCCACCAGTGGTGGGTTGCTTGTTTTTCTGGATTTTATTATCTAATGTTTTATTTACAGTGTTCACCTGTCATAACGATTCATATCAGTAGAAAAAAAAAAGTTATATATGATATGATTTCAACCTGAAATCGATAAACGAAAAAAGAAGAAAACTTGAAATGAAATCCAAAAAGACACACGCGGGGCATCCAATTACGTGCAATTACATTCATACATTTCTTTTTCATTTCTCCATTAAATGAAAAACAAAAAAAAATATATATATATATATATACATGAGTCTACCTATATAAACAAAAAGCAAAATTATAGATAAATACAAAGCTATAAATATATATATGTATATTGACTCCATTTTTATTTCTTTGTCGATAAAACACAAAAAAAAATAAATGAACGATACCCATACACTATGCCGATGTGTGTCTGTAAAGCTGACACACGAGAGTCAGGCAAAAGTACAATGCAAACAAAACGCCGATATCAGCGATAAATCATTCATATAGTCTATATATATGTACTAGAATCAGGCGATCAGATTGCCGATGGTGATCGGGGCATACAAAGAGATAGAACATAGAGAATATAAGGGGAAGGTAGTATATAAAAGCTATGTAAGGCATTAACTATCAATATTTATCGATAAACTTCATAAAATCGGTAGAATTGAGATATCAGATTGCCTATTGAGGTTTAGAGCACACAAAATACCATAGTTACTATCAGAAAACAAATGAAATACACGTTTTAAAGCATTTTTTAAACATAAATAATCGATATTTATCGATAAACTTTAGAAAAACTCTAAAACAATGCGTTACGATTGCTGATGGTGATCGGGAAACAGAAAAATAGACAGTTACTATCAGAAAATAAGAGAAATACGACTTTTAACATAAACTATCGATAAATTTAATAAGTAAGCTAGAAGGTAACCTAGATGAGATTTTTGATTAATCTTGGGAAAACCTGCTAAGATAGAGGCTTATAGAAAATCGAAAAAAATCAAAATATAAAAACTATTTAAGACAGAAACAATTAGTATTTATTTTGATTATCGACTAGAAAACGATATTTTCGATAGTTCTCACAAATACAAGGCTATACCTTAAAGCCCTATTGAGAAATTCTTTCATAATAAAAGTATAAAAAAGGGAAGCTTTCTTTTAAAAATTCTATCAATACTCATCGATGAGACAAGACTGTCATTTATTTTCTTATTTTATGAAATACTTCCAAACCACTAGTTTCTATAAAAAAAAAAAAAAGATACATGTTTCAATTTGCCCAAATAGAGCCAGTTATATCGATAAATGTTTATAAATACCATGTTTGGTATTGAGAAAGGATGTATTGTACTATTTAGGGGCATTCGTAACTCATTTGAAACACCGACCTTACCCAAAAAAAATCAAAAATCCAATTGAAACACCGCCAAGCAACCAAACAAACAGACAACCAGGCAACCCAACAACCCAATCATATCAAAGGTTATCTCTCCGACTTGTTCACACCTCGACACAAATCTGATCCGATTCCAAAT